ATATTTTGCAAACTAGGTGTCGAATTGGATTATGAAAACCCAATGGTTGACTAGAACACCATACCAGCATACGTCTACGACACAGCATTCCTCGCCATCTTGTCAAGGATTAGCTAATATTAACGGTTAAATGGGATAGACACTTCAACTTAATTTCATAAAAACAGTATTTATAGAAGTCCTCAATATTTTGAGTAGTATTCATTGGATACAATCGGATACCTCACGCTTCATAATTTCTCTTAGAGCAGTAGTAACAGTGGAAGCGGCAGCGACTTGAAAAATTCCTCCTCTCTTCTTCCAGTCTTTTCCGGTAGAATAGTCCCCGTTTATCATCTTTTCCAACAAGCGTATTGATTATTAATTAGAAAAATCAGAGAAACATATCAGAACAGGCCACTCACCAACCAAACAAAGACGTTAATATGAATCAGTTTACGATAAACCCACAATTACTTCAGTTCAGATATTATGACTGCTGCACAGCAATGATAGTTCTAATGACAGCAGACTATTACCGACAAATGTGAAACTGATTATGAGCTCGTTGCTAACTCGTTCAGCTGGGGCTCACGATGTCGCATTTCCCTCGAAGGTAACTTCTAGTAAGCAGTCGCGTGCGACTCCTCCAGTAAATATCGCGCTAGTCCTCCTTCTCCGTTGTTGACACATTGAGGTCGTACAAACAGACATGTAGTATAACATAATATATACAATGGGGACAAATACACACATAAACGGGTGTACGGGTTTGGTGAGAGAGTGCTAATGATGATATGCATACTGTTGTATGTTTACGCCCTGTTCTCTTCTTCCTCCTAAAGCCCCCTTATATAGGGAAACGCTTGTTTAGCAGCCTGACTAGCCCCTCGGCAACAGCAACGAAACGCTTAAGGTATTTTAGAGATCTTCCTGGTAAACCTAATAGGCAACCGCGGCTGATTCTATTTTTTTTAGCTCATCAATGGTCTAGAAGGCCCATTGATGAGCTAAAAAATAAGAGAATTATCGTGTTCCGCTAACCATCAGCGAAGGAACAGTCGCAATCAGCTACAGTTCGGCAGATGATGCTGTGCTTCGATTTGCGTGCAAGCATTCTCTCTTTCTATTTTTCTTCTTTCTCGTATGCGTTTCATATTGTGGTTACGTATAAACGAAAGTTAGTTTCCGTAATAGGGTAGCGAGTACCTTATTTGTCTGCTAAACTTAGAAACACGTTGGGATCAAAGTTTGAACCCTGGCATAAACACGCTCTATTTCGTGCTGGCAGCCAGCTCTCTAAAGTGACGCCGAACAGCTAAACTACTGGAACCATAGCATGAAAAGTTTTTTCGTACACGAAGGGCTACCAGGAATTCCTGTCAGCCAGTTAGCCATAAACCGTAGAAAATAATGGTAACAGCGAAGCACAGCGACCAGGGATCGCGTAGATCCAGTTGAATAGTGGCAGCTGTTGACAGACGTGCTTGATAATGACAACTCTGATTGTAACCAACACTTTCATTACCAATTGACGAATAAAGAAAAATCGCAACAGACTAGATTTAAACGCTTATTTTTGCAGCCTTAGCCAATTTAAAAATATGGTAGCTCTGTATGACTACTGCACGTGTACTTGACAATCGAACTGATCGGAATCGTTTAACCTATAAACATGCGAAAGATATTTCTTACATTAAGTAGTTCCGATTATATATAGAAAAGAAAATCGATTAAATAAAAACCGCTATTGACAGTAGTTGTAACTATCATTGTCAGATTTCTTCCCTTGGCAGTTCGTCATTTGATCGGTATTTAGTTGTATTATTTCGTGCCATGTCATTAAACTACATTAAGTAAGACTCATAGCTTTGTTGACAATGGTAACTTAATGCGGGAAAACTAATGACTCGTGACATCGGATAGCGCTTTCCAGGTTAGGATTGATTAAAGGGAATATACAACCAACATTCATCGAATAGTCCAGCATCGCTATACTTATTATCCGGTAAAATTTCATTTCGAACAACGTTATACCTATGGTATTAGCCACGAAAGCAGCATTGTGACGTCTTTTATCTTTTAGCCAAACACAGGCTTGCTTAGGGATCGAAACAACGCTCTCGTAAGTGCACGACGATTATCGAAGCAGGTAGGAAGCTGTTGAGCTGAAGTTAATATTAGGACATATATATAACAGCATCGTCGCGTAGCTGTGACAGATGGCAATGTGACTAAGCGCACACACACTCAGACAAGCGCCGACCACCGATCAGGAGGTCACAGCCAGCTAAGAGCAGCAATTGTAGATCGGTCGAGGCCAGTAAAGATGACTCAAGATGATTTACGTGACCCTGTGAAAACAAACGGCGAGGACATTCACATATAAGCATCAGCGGCCGAAAGTGCAAAAATCCTTTGTTCTCTCTTTGTCTCCCTCTGTTCGTAGATACGAAAGAAGGAAGAATGTTTTAGGAAAGAAAGAACAAGGAGCAACATGATCGCACTGCACAAAGTGGATTCATCTGAACAGGAATCAGGAACTGCTCACGGATAGAACGACTCCACCTAAAGTGGCTTACTCGGTTAAGTTATGAATTTGTAAGGGTTAAAACGGTGATTCGAGATAGCAACTACAGGGCTCATCGGGGATGTTTGATATGGCATGGTCATACTCTAGGGATAACACTCGCAACCTGCTAGCTAAACGGATTTGTTGGATAGTTTTGACCATGGCTATGGTTTGCGTTTGTTTCTCCACAAGCAAAAGTCCCTGCTATCTGCTCTCCGTGTTTACTACGTGACGCGCCATGGCAAGGCCAATGCACATATAGTCCAGAACACCATCTCGTTTTAGCTAGAGAAGGTTTTGCGGTACTCAACGGGAGTTTATAGCAAAGCCGCGCAGACCCGTAATCAACCTATCATTATTATAAATTACAATGTGAAGGTGTTATTAAAATCGGTGTTGATTCGAAAAAAGTACGTCCAATTAGTTGTAAAAATCGACATTGACTGTGGGCCGTCAGCTTGGTACTCGAGCTTAGCGGACTCCGCGGTTTGCCGACAGCATCCATTGATACATCGTAACCTGCAGCTTGATACGCCACACGGAATCAATCCATGATTCTGCACGTAAACCAAAGAAAGAGTTGTTACAGCAATTGTTTAATAATTAGCTTTATAGATTAGAAAAAGCACTTGCTGCTACCCTAAAGGAAATATTGCCCGCTTCAAGTTTTAGGGTGGCAACTAAAATAGCTTCCAGGAACCAACAATAATCTTTTTCTCAATTTGCCTACAGCAGAGATTACGTGTTATATCTTCTAGTTATTTCTACCTGCCTTTGTCCGTTCCGGCAGAAACCGTTTCTGCAGAGGGGTTACAGATGTGGTTGCAGCCGGTGTTCTGCGATGAAACAACCTCTGGAGGAGGAGTGTGAGATGACGTTTTCAATAGCTGCTCTCACTGATTTCACTTTGCACTCGCAATTGCTGCTGAACGTGTCTACGACGGTATGCTCTTCTGTTGTGGCCAGCGTCAGTTCCAAAGAAGGATCGTCTAAGGAGTCATCGTGATAGTAATAATTGCAACAGTTACACATATACTGCAGCATACTCAATGGAAAATTCGGCAACTACTCCAGAGCCGCATGCAAGGCCAAGTGAGGTGGGTTAAGATTTGTCCGCGTCAGTATTAACATCTGTGAAAGGGATGCGCCCCAACGACTGACGGCCAGTCACGTATGCAACCAAACCAAACTAGATCAGCTGGTCCTATTCTTATCTTTAGCAAGACGGCCTCAACGTTTCCCTTACATACAGGTTGATTAAAGCGCTAAGGAAGAAGCGGCGCGTTGTGTCGGGAGCACTACACAAAAACCAAGTAATAATATAATTCAAAGCAGCAACGACGACTATCATAAGGCAGCATTCCGTTGTAATGGCACAATAATAACAAATTTTCTCATATCTGACAGTCTCTATGTTTCGAGTTTCACATCTGGTATCGCCCTTAAGCACTCCATAAGACGACTGCCTCACAACGTCAATTGACGTACGTCTATGCCCGGGTTCGAAACTAGACCAGAACGTGCCACTAATATCAGCAGGCAAATACGTTATTTTATCTGACAGTCCGGAGTATTCCGGACTTTCAGATCGGAACTTTCTAAAAACTGTACATATCCGATGGTGCTGAGTGTCATTATTACCTCTGATTATTGCAGCAAGAAGAGTCGGTAGCATGTATGCGTATCGCTGTAATTTCTGATCATCGTCATATGTATGTATGACGCGTAAGTCCCTAAAAAATAGCGTCTATCTGAAGGCATATAATAACAATGATTTTAGCGAACGGAGGATGCACATGTTCTTGAAATTCCGTGAAATTTGCGTTGCTGATAATTTGGTGAGAACTTACGAAGTAAGCAAACTTGCACTACTCGCGTGCTATCGAAGATGCATTTTTGTGTTACAAGGAACGCACATAAAAGTTAATGTCTTCATGCCCAAAAAATTAGTTAAGACGATTAGAGTGTAGAGGACACATTGGGACGGAATTTATATCTTTATACCTTTTCTTATTGGAACAAAATGTCGAGGGAGGCTCAGGACAGTAATATTCTGGTGATGCTGAAATGTTCAATAAGCACATTTCTTCACATTCGGCTTAGGCTAGCTTTACAGTCTTGTTGTTACAAGACTGCACGTGAGACTAGTGCTCAACGCCTCCAAATTTGCACACCGAAACTGGGCAAAATAATGAAAAATAATATACTCCTACATAAACTTCCCCAGCAGCGTCTGAAGTAAGCTTACGCTGTCAGAGTAGACAACGATGAAATGCTACTAAAACAATCTAAAGTAATAAAATAACTACAACGCTAGATAACAGTGACAGTTTTTTTGTCCGTTAGAGCAAGGGACCGTTATTGAAAAAAAGCTTTCAAATATTGAAAAAACGGTATCGTTTAAGCTTATTATAAGTCAGTCTCAGTAATAATTACATTGTATACAACGAGTTTGATATAGCTTATCACCGTTTTTATCACATATTCGTCTACCTAAAACACAGAAGTATTGTGGTATTTACGAATCGCACTGAGTAATAATCAACATATATTCCGATATAAACGAATATACAACAGTATTGATTTTATATATCTGTTTCTATGCTTCCTAAACGCCAGCCGTTAAGTGTAATACTAGCATTATCTCACAACGTGTAGATCCGATAGTTCGTCTGACACCCATGAGGGACCTCGACAAGAAATACCGTGATAGAAATAATAGAAAGACAGTTGAATCAGCAGCAGACAAAAAAAAATTGTAGAGTACGGTAATTAGTAGTGGAAAGTGAAGGGCATGAATATGGTTGCACGATACATTTATGATTCTGCGTCAAATTTTTTCAGCTTGTCTTATCCGTTGGAGTACAGCTAATAATAAAGCAGACGGCAGGATAGAATCACAAAATTATACATTATAATTACTAGATTATACGTATAATTATATTAATTACATACTCTGAATAACTCCAAATCCTCTTGCTACCTTATTTACCCGACAACGCGTCTTGAAGAACTTAAAACATAATACCTTCAAAACATAGGGAAAAAAAGTGGAAAACATAGTCAAGTTCAGGGCTTTACGTTCAGAGGAGCTTAAATTAACTTTAATATGTAGTGCTATCGCAGAAGTTCCGAAGGCGAGATTTGTTCATTCAGTACGAAAGTTTTTTTATGGGTAGTTCTAGCTTAAAGGAAGCTATCTAGTTTTACTATATACTTACTGGGAATATATAATTATTTTACATGTATACATTAATTTAAAAAAATGCAGCTCCCTTTTATCCATTGTATCCATACTTTTGCACGCCATATTATATTTATTTATAATTTTACGCAGCCATTTTTATCAGTTGCATTATATATTTGTTATTATTGTTATTTTCAACAATTATCGTACCTGTTACTAAAAACTCGCTATAAGCTCTGACTACCTATTCTCGTTCCTTTTTGTCACCATCTACTTGAGATTTTGCTGTCTCATAGGTTGAACCCGCTGAATTCCCCTGGACTTGGGGTGTACTTTGCTTCGCTAACAGCGTATTCGACCTCGCGTCATGCTTTTCAGCTGCACTTGTATTGACACTCATTAGCCTCTCTATCATTTTTTGCTTTTTGGCTAATTTCCTAGCTTCCTTCGCAGCAGCCTTGCGCTCGGCGTCTTTCATTTCCATGACTTCGATGAATTTCGGATCGCTCGGCGCGACGTTGTACCCAATATACTCGCGCACCTCTCGAATACGTTCTTCCATAATTGCCTTCTTTTCTGCTTCTTCCCTAAGCATTTTTTCCTCCTTCTCCAGCATCTCCTTTCGCCATGAAGCTAACTTAGCTAAGTTGCCCTCAATAGCCTCTTCACGGGCGATTATTGCTTCAGCCGCCTCTTTCTTTTGAGTTTCGAGACGCTCCTTCATTTGGGCGAAGGTCGGATGAAACTCACTATCAATAAAGTGTAGATCGGCCATTTCTTTTTTGGTAGGCCAACACACCCCGGCGTTAATACCAGTAGCCGCACCGTACGTCACATAATCGGAACGAAGCTGCTGCACAGAAAAATCGTGGGGCTGATTAGCAAAGTAAACGCCCTTGATTTTGCGTTTATACATTCGGCTACTCATACGGGCGATATTGCGTCTAGCAGTAATCTCCTCCTCACTAAGGCCTTCGGGTTCACCGAAAATATTTAATGTCCGTGTGCTCTTATTTGTAGGCGCGGCCTCGCCAGTCTGTTCAGACGGAGCAACCGAAGTGCTACCTGAATTAAGCTGACGACAGCCTGCCGCAGCGGGAATGCGCGACCTAAGAAATCGAACGTTCAACATGGTTGCAGTTGTTTTTGCTTGTTCAACGAACTGGCATTGCATCCGCTGTAGCATTATATTATACTTCCTGGTAAGGCAAGGAAACACCTCGCTCAAAAGCGCGAACTAGTGAGCTTTATGTTACTTTATCAGAATTTTATGTTACTAAATCAGAACAATAGCTCGTAATGTTCAATTGCTAGAGCTGTTTTATATAAGCGAACACTGCGCGATTCCATGACCGTGTTGGCAATGCGGCCAGCCATAACAACAAAAATAACACGATGGTTGATGGTCGGGCTGCGTTCGATACGACTGTCTTCGGGTGGAGGGTTACGTTCTGTGCAGTTTGAATAGAACGCGCGCCAGTGGATAACATTGGAAAAGTCCGATTAGTTTTTATTGCTAGCTATCCTGCAGAGAAGAGCTCTATCAAAAAAATGCATGCAATACAATGTATCTAATTCTTTAAAATTCTAGTATCAGTTAAATTCAAGAAGTCAGTTTTGTTAACACGAAAACGTATATGAACATGTAATCTCTTTTTAAGATTAAATTCTGATGATGATATTGTTATAAATATACCTGTGTTTTAAACAGAGGATGCTATACGAGAAGCGTTATTTCACGCAAAATTTAATGACAAGAAAACTATTTAATCGAACTAAGGAAGCTTTGTTTTATTAAACAGTCTTTGATTGAATTTATTTAATCCACGGGTAATGAATTACAAAATTATTTATTCTGCTTCCCTATCATATTTAATTTATACTGTGGCAAAGCATCGAGTCATATGGGAAATCGCAATAGTCCCTTCGAGACATTTTCGATAAGAGCTAGGTGCGATTTCTATGTGACCTCGGAAGCGGTGAGCTAATGTGAAGTAGAGCAAATGATAATTCAAGCTGAAACGCGGCATGACACTGAATTATTAAAAATTTTATGTGATCTTTAGACGATCTCCAATTTAATTATCCCATGGGTCAATATCGTTTTCTCAATATTCTTTCAACCAATAAAGCACTACGCCGCCGTCCAAAAATAAAAATTCAAAGCACATCAATTCTGAAGCAAAGATTGTTTTCCATCGTTTATGACAAACTTTAGATCTTAAATAATATGCCTAAAAAACGAACGACCCAATAAGCAAGCCAAATATAAGCCCACATTTATGCAAATACCTGAAAATAATGTTTCACAAATCCTCCAGCGACTAAATAAGATCTTGATACCAGTCTTCTGTGAATAAAAATTACATACCGTTTCATGCATATATAGACACAATAACATCGAAGTGTACATCTAATCATCAGTATGGTCCATATTATTTTGCTCAATGGTTTGTTCAGGAGTTTTACAAGAGCGATATAACTAGACAGTGATTAGTGCAGAACTCAACTGCTCGTAACGAAATCGACTTGGAGAACAGGAAAACTTCAAATGAGATAGAGTAAGTCATCATTTCTAATAGATGGGGGCGGCAAGCATATATAAAAAAACAAGGGGACTTTCGTCGAAACGTGCGGCAAATAAAGTGTTTGAACTCGACGGACCCACATGAAGGTGACTTGCTTAATTAAATCTAACTGCGATGTGTGTTGTTCTTTGACTAAATAATTTCTGCCTTTCGACTCCTCTTTATCTATTATCAATATGTTTTTAGCATTAGTGCGCAGAATATCTATGGATTGCACTGACGCGGAATGTACGTATTTGATGATCTTCCAATGATGGTGGTTTAGTAATTGTTCAAGATCAAAAATATTTAAGAAGCCAAGAAGAAGTAAGGTAGAGCTTGGTTGTGTTTATGAGAAACTACAGCGGAAAGTTCGTCAGCGGAAAACCCACTACGAGAAGCCTATTTGAGATGCGAAGTGCCAACCGTCGCTGATTTATCTAAGTACTTGACCTGAGCGATCTAAGTACTAACCTATGATAAATGAATCATTACGCATGCTTTAAGTATTTCTGTGTGCTCTGTACAGGCACTACCTTAAGCTTATTTGAGAATGTACATTACTAGAGGCCGTAAGCAATAGGTTTTGTCTTTTTTCTGGCGTTTTTTATTATTATGTTGTTATCGAGTAGGAGCATATTAGGTTTAAAACATCAAGTTCAGAAAAACTTGCCAAGTCTGTTTCTACGTAGTATGCCGTGTTATTCGAAGTTATCATCAAAATATTTTTTTTTTACGTGAATATCCACTTATTTATACGATAAAACGTCCTGTTTTTCTATTGTACTTTGTCTGTCGCGCCCAATTGAGATTTAGGGCACTGTAGTCTTATTTGTTGTCATGTAGTGATACTTGTTGTGAAGATCGCTGACCTTCTTCTCGAGAATCACCTGCGTAACGGTCGTCTGCAGTTTGCATTTTTATGTTATAAAAAAGGCTTTTCTAATATTTGTAATTAACCGCCTAAAAGGCACCAAAGTCTCATCACTGCACTGACAGTAAAACCATACAAGATTTATTGTAACTAACGAAAGTAAAAATGTGTACAAATCGAGTTACACACGAAACAAATTTTACAAATAAAATTTGTTTCGTGTGTAACATTGATGGATATTTATTATCAAGCTAAGAGAGCTAATGCGGAAGAACCACGCATTTGATTATTGTATGATTTACTAACCGTATGTTTATGGTGGAATTGCCTAAAGTCGAAACGTTTGGACAAAACTTTCAGATGTAAAAACAAGAATTCCTTCGATCCAACTTCTTAACAATTTCACATGACAGCTATACTTTAAGGCTCTTATATATGCTTAAATAAGTAGCATATTTTTATTACTAGGGACGAACCGTTTGCGTAACGGTAAATCCGATCAAATAGAAATACATATTGCATGGCAATGTTGGTACTCTTAAGAAAATATTGGGTTGTCAAAAAAGTATCGATCGTTTTTAAGCTAAAACTTAAACAATTATTCGTTATATTTTGAAGAAACACTACTAAAGTAAAAGAACGTCATTATGACCGATGATTTTCCGCCGTTTTTCTGGTTGATTTTCTGCAGTTTCTGGGTGTAAAACTGTGGCAGGTGATGACTTTTGCGCCTCTCCATTGAAATTACATTAACACAATTGAGGGGGTTCTATAAAACACAAGACAGGTGGTAGTCGATTGCTGCAAGATTCGGTCTATATAGCGGGTGCATTAAAGTTTCCTCTCCTAGCTTTCTACATTTTTAACGAGTAGCTAAACATATATGTGGTCCGTCATTGTCATGGTGTAAGACAACGCCTTTTCTGTGCACTAGTTCCGCTTGATTTTTCCAACGCCTTGTTGAAATCCTAATAGTTAATGACAGAAGCTTGAATCAATCGTTTTTTCAGGCGGTAGCAACTTTTCATTCTTAATCTCACAAAGTACATAAGAGTCTTTTCTGTGTCGTCGGCTTGAGCCTTGCCACACACTGCAGAGCAACTGTTCTTTATTCTTTTTCTATTGGCACATTAAGTTATATATGCTTCATTCTTGATCGGCCATAATCAACAATGACTTTAAAAATGGCTGGATTACGTTACATTTCGAGTACGTTGCATGAGTTTTGCAGTCGCAAATATAATGATTCATCTGGTATCCAAACATCCGGGCTTTTTTTTGGTAGTTAGCTTTCTTCCACCGGTTTGGGATTGTTTGTTAATAGACCTTCAGTACCTTGAAGATATCGCAGCAGCTTATGTGTTGATCTTGCTCATCTTTCACGATAATTAGCTCTTGCGTAACTAATCGATTATTATGAGGAAGCTTTTTCACTGCAAAATTTCCAGCATGAACATGACAGAACCATCTTTGGATCGTTTCTGTCCCTAGCACATCTTGACCATACTTAACAGACATATTTTTTAGGCCTGGGTAGCACTTGTACCTTTACCACAATGAAATGTAAAATATAGCAAATTTTCATGGTAATTTGACCAGTTTACAAGGCGCTTCATATCAAATTGGAGTAGAAGCATTTCAACGATGTTCGCAACTTCACATCTATCAATTGTTAGCTTCTAGATAACGCCAACGCTAAGTTGATGCGAGTCATATTAACTTGAGATGTCTGTGATTCTAAAGCCATCTAGGTGGAAAAAGGTTTATCGACAACCAATATTTCATTCTATTCTAATCGCATTCACGTCATGTATCTTACGTGTGTATCGCGAATGCCTACACATTGTTAACAACTGAAATTTGTAGATTTGCCACATTAATGCCGTTTATATACTTACAGGATTCGTCTGTCCTGCATCTTTCTGAGCGCCTCATCTCTGGCCATCACAGCGAGTATGTGGCGCTGCTCATCCAGGCTAAGGTGCGTCAGATCGATAACCGGTTCATCGTTCACCAGATCGTCACTGCCGACACCAAATTGTCCGTGTTTACATAAACTACCGCATTCGCCGCTGCAGCTACTTGACGATTCAGCGCCACCGCCGCTGCTCCGACTGCTACCTCGAGAGAGACTTCGTTGTCCCCCACCGCAGCTACCGGAAGGGGTGTTAGGTCCTAGACCTGGTGCAGAAATGACTCCAGACAGAGATGAGTAAGTATACTGATCTGGCATGACGGGGTACACGCTCTGCTGCTGCTGGCTTACAGCCACTCGCGGCCCTTGGTGGAACATTTGCTGTACACTTGCGGGTGGACTACCAGCCATTGTTATCGAAGTCGTAACAACCGGATCATGCCGAAACATAACGTCCTCGCCAGCTCGCGTTCCCGACGTCATCCCAAGCTCAGGACAATCCACTAACGATGGCGATGACGACGACGGCGAAACGTCTGCAGCTGTGATCGCACTATGACTCATTGGCGGTGCGACGATAGCTGCCGCATTACGTTGTAGCTGCGAAGTCATCTTGGGATCCTCGTCGATGACTCTCGTTTGTGTTAGAGGGTGTTTTTCGCCGTCCTTGTCGTTGAGATCTTGACGATCTCCGACAACGAGAATGATGACGATCCAGCTGGGGAGCAAATTTGACGCTGATCCAGACACCAATTGCTGTAGTTAATACTGCTGCTGCTTCGGTAGTTTCTTTTCTTGCCTGGCCTCACCCTCAAGCCCCCTGTCCTTATAGAGGTAAAGTAATTGAACTTTGTTGATGTCGTTGTGTTGTTGACTATTCTTACCACTGTTATTGGTATTATTGTTGATGTTGCTCACCTCGATCGGCCAAGGTAGAAGTAGGAATCCGGCAGAGTTAGGTTGCGCTCGGTGCCCCGTCGTGGCGGGGAGTGTGGCAGAGGAAGTGACGCGTAGCTGACGATTTCTACAGCAGTACTACGAGAGACAACAGCTACTTATACTGACCACCTTGTGCTGGAGGTATGATCCAGTTCCTTTCCGACCGTCATTTTCGACTAACCGAAATCACGTCGCGCCTCGTTTTTTGTCGACGCTGAAAGCGTTCGTCACCGGTACACTGTGCGCAAGAAACACTACCACGGGCCGGTATCAATACTTTACCCACGGGTGCCGGAAAGCGAACAACTTGAAGAGTGTCGTATAATAATATTAGCTGTAATAAGATGAAAGTTGGGATACATAAAGAGTCCAACCAAAGTATGACAAAACGCGGCGCATACACACTGCAGATTCCACGCGGCACTTGGTTACGGCCTGCTGATGGCCACATCGGATAGATGATCCTTCTTGCTGGTATGGTATCGACATATCAGTAACATCGGAGATGTCCCGGTAGTATGTTTCTGCATTTCTGAAATGTCCACGAAAACCCCACAGACAGAAATAAAGAAGCAATGATATAATATGTGGTTACAGATGGGTAATTCGTTGTTACCATATCTGCAAATGTGGGTTCGATTAAGATACTCCTAAGTGTAGAGAAATCAATTGTTTTTTGAAGGATTGATTAACGTTAAACTATTTACCTACTACTAGTAAATTCATGTTGTTTTTATATTCATAATAATATCTCAGTTCGGCGCGATGATCTCTAGTATACACAAGCAGGAAACCACATGGCCTTATATAGGTAAAATTTTCATGTTTCATTTTCAGGGTTTCAGTTAATCTATTGTAGTCAAAGGGATTCGATTATCACTAGTGTCAATTGGATTGTAAGCCGAAAGAGTGTTTTCAGCCAAACGAAATTGGCGCCATTGGAACGAAGTATATGTCTGTATCACTATGAAGTAGCTCAGTATTGTAAAATAGTAAACTTTGTTCTATCTCATCTAATTAAAAAATAGATGGGCTCGTAATCTAAATTGAGTTAAACAAATGCTATCACATAATTTACAATGAATCCGAAAAGAAAAATTTGAATGTTATCATATTTAAAAAGAAACAAAGAAAGTAAAACATATGTTGTAGGGCCTTTGTATATGTTAGCCATAGCACTATGCGGCAACTTTTTCGTACTGTCAAATTAATGGTGATTCTATAAAGTCTGCAGCTTTATTCAGCTGCTAATGGTCCAAAGTACCGGTTTGAAGTAGAACGCAAAAGTACACATTTATCACCTAGCCCATGATTAACCATGCTATAACCCCGACTTAACTATCTCGTATGTATAGCTTCGAGTAAGTGAATGGGTGGCCTTTTCAGGCGGTTAAACATGTCCAAGAACACGTCACGAACCAAACACCACTGGGTCTTAGTTAAATACACTTTAAATAGGGTTTTAATTAGGTACTCCTTACATTGGGTCTTAATTAAATACTAGTTGATTAGATAGTATATACTCTCACATTTGTTTTTATTTTAGTTGTTTTCACTCATGGCCTGGAAGGACGTCGCTGTGGGCGTCGCCAGACGGGTTTACCATTCTCACACGCGCCCATATTTCCGAGACCTTTTTCGAATTTCTCCTCAGTCAAAGGAATCGCAGATTTCTATAGGAATGGTGCTCCTGATACGAACGGTCTGCATAGAGAAATATGTTGTTTGCACGTGGCATTACACTAGTATATATATATATATATATATATATATATATATATATATATATATATACTAGTTAATAAACGACAAATACGTTTAGGCAAGAAAATAGTACGCCAATAGCTGAGTGGCTGAGTGTTTAAGGTACAGGGAATTAATCCTTCGGTTAGTATTACCGCCCCATTTATACATATAATCTCATGGGGGGATTTCAGGAGCAATTTTTATTTTCCGATAGTTACGAACCCAACCGGTACTGGCATGCATTTTTTTCGGGCTAGCCCCGTAGCGTAAACTCTCTGCTAAAGTGGAAAAAGTGCCCACAGATAGGGTTGGCGAGCAAGCGTCTGCTTAATGACAAACCGTTGAAATGATTAGTTTTAAATGATCAAATAACGGCAATGAAAATGGTATCATAGTTGGCAATTAAGGATATGAGAGGCAATTATTATGTCGACCTGTTCTCACATTTCCGAAGAGTCTGCGATGATTAAAACGGCGATGTTCTGAACACAACCATGAAGCCACGTTTTTGTTGAAAGCAAATTAAAACATCAGATTTGTGGTACCCGAAAAGCTGTTCCATGTAAAAAAATAAGAACAGCGTATTGGTGGCTACTTCTTATGTAGAATCATTGAAGCTGTATAAACGTAATAGTCATATGCAATCCTTAATTATAGGTTCTGTAACGCGATTTGTGTGTTTTGAAATAAAAGCGTGGCCGACGATTGACTCCGTAAGTGTCCCCCTAGCCTTTATTTCGCTATATTATAATAAATAGTTACATAATAATACTTTCTTTCAAATATTTTATCAATATGTTTCTGAGATACAGGGATTATCGTAATATATGTTGCTTACGTATTGGTTCAATAGATTATGGCAGATATCCATGTATCATATTATTAGTTAGAAAAAGCAATCAGTTTCAACAAGCATGTAACCTTACCGTTTAACAACAGGGGATTCTTTGCTCAGGGCAAGCTATTGCTGTTTATTCGAACTATGTTTGTGCTAGTTCAAGAGACACATAAGGAAGTCTTTACACAGTGGCATACTTGTTGTATGAGGACGGCCATCGAACGACCAAGCTGATTAGAGAATGAACCAATGTGACGCAATACAATGCGAGCTAGTTGGGGTTGATTATTTGACTCTGGGCAGCTGAAGTGAGAACCAAACTGAGGTAAAGTATGTACTGCTTACGGCGCAAAATATTCCACAGTAATTACAGTCAATATAGAGCACAATTCAGTTAGATCCATTTATCATAGACAAGAAGACCATCCAGAGATAGAACTGTGCCGGTAACTTTGGTCATCTGTTGCATTGTACTTGTGCTGGTAGCAGTAGTAGGATCTAAGGTGGCCACTCATCAGTATTTATTTGCCTGATAGAACGCTTGTTTACCTGAATCTCGTTAACTAATAGAACAGATTTACTTAAGATAGCGTTAAACTTGGTCAGTTCTCTGTTTAGAGGCCCATCGTAAAAATCATACGATCCTATTACGACGATAATTCAATACACGAAATCTCTGTCGCTTTTTGCTAACCTTGGACCGATACTTACGACTTTTGTATGTGGAATTTAGCCGAAATTTTATTTCGTTCGGGACATCTATACAGTTGCTACGGTACATACATAGCTGACGTTTAACGGCGTTATGCACAAGAGCGTTTCTAAAATACTTGACAATATTGTTTACGTCAAAAAAAAAATGTGATTTAGATGCGTTTACTCCACAGTTTCCGTGGCCTATCTAAAAGTCCCGCAGGTCTAAATTCTGTAGGTGTCTAGTGCTGTAGAGTGGTATTATAAAATAGTCCAATACAGAAAACCGTGAAAAGAACAACTGCGGTCAATAGATAGTACACCACGAAGATAAAAACTGATTAGGTGACATTTAAAATAATTTCCCGTTTTTTAGGTATCTATAATAATAAGTATCTATAATGGATCGTACGTTAAGAGAAAGAACAGGTCACCAACTAGAGAGTACCTTATACGCGTATGTCGTTGTATCCTTAACTAACATGATATATATCGTGTATATATATCGCCAAAGCAGTCTCTCTATATCCGATATTTTTGCTTGTATGTGTCGACAATGATGCACGACGGTGGAAAGACCTCTGAAGACCGAAACGAACGTATACTGTAGGGACGTTGTAGCGCGGGCTGTTTTCACAGAGCCTGTTGTCTAGAGCTGTATAACGAAAAAGGGTTTGGTTCCAAAGTAGTTAGATATAACGGTTCGAAACTCAGACGGCAGAAAGTCCTGAGAGGTGAGTCTCGTACAGGCACTAAGCATCGATGCGGCGAAAAGGACTGATCAAGAAGACGACTAATTACATGACATAATTACCCGGAGAAAGGACGAGGTAGGTCTTGAATGGCAAGGCAAACCTCGTATTTGTCGCAAGAGCTCTGCCAAATGGTTGCTGTCTAACACTGTTTCATATTCTGAACGATATCAAATAAAAATATTTTGTTTAAAAAAAAAAGCGCACAAAACACCATAAACCACTTAATATAACTAAGTTAATTGCGTTATACGCTTAAAGCTGCTGAGGCCAGTAAGAAGGTTACAAATACGTTTCTTATGTTTACTGCCTGAATCCCGTTACTCTTGAAAACAGGCGTATCTATGATAGGATATGATATAAAAGTTCAGCAGTGCCTTTCAGCCGAAAAGCTTAATGGTACATGATCCGTAGTGATAAAGGACCCACAATTATATATTTGAAGCAGTAGTTTTTATATTTTGAGACGTAAGACTATCAGTCATCGTAACATTAAACTATTTTGTCGTTAGCAAAAGCTTGATTTCGTTATACCTTCTTTTATCCTTCACTCTAGTCACCGTATGAATGCAACACAAACAGCTTCCAGCAGAAAATCACATTGGCCATTCCGAAACGGAGGACCGCAGAGACAAATAGGCAACGATAGTCCTTTGTTTCATGTCCTGCTCGTCCTAAAACAGTGTATGGAAAATGGTTCCTACAAGACATATTCCCACAAGCTGTAATGTCTTCATTTTGTTCGATTATTGAAAGTGGCCAACGAAAGCGGAGTACAAAAAAAATCTATGCATACAGTGTTCTGATACAGTGGCCAATAGAACAAATACAATGGATGTGTCATGCCATATAATGTTCATAGTGACTTAGTAGAAAATGACGGAATGACTGAGACAAGAAGGTTTGTTTGAATAAACTAGATTAACTAGATAAACTAGATCGTTTATAATACTGCATGTTAATTTCATTAAATTAAAGTATGTTAACATAGGGCAAAAGTTAGACTATCATGATCAGTGTATAGAACATCATATAAGTATTAGAATAATTCGTGGATATTGTGGTATTGCGAAAGTTTCAATTGTTCCTTTTACTACTTAACTGTTCCTCTTCCTGTCTAATATTAGGGCAAGCCCTTTCACGTACAAGTCGAGATAACAGGCAAAGATGCCCGTTTCACTTGACCATGCTCTACGTTTTTTTTATTTGCATGGTTCCGATCTGATCAACTGTGAATCCTCTAAGCAAACAGGCAACCGAAAGTTACCCCATGAATGAGAAAGCTCAGCGAGTTTTTTGATCTATGACCAAGCACGCTTTTGTTTGTCCAAAGGTTGACTCAATGCCGGTAGCCGCTAACTTATTAGAAAAGTCATTCATAGACAAGCATGTCTCTCAGATCGACAATACACATAACTCACCACAGTCTTAAGTTACCGATAGCTTAGAGGAAACAAGCTGAACGTCGTCTCAAAAATTAGCTTTTCTGGGATAGGACTGAAA